GGCAAAGCTGAGACTCCAGCTCAAGTCGGCCTGCCTCCAGGGCCTCACGCCCCTCCTACGGGACGTAATTTTATTCAGCTGTGTGTCCTCAGCACCAAAACCTTCCACCTGCCTCATGATAGCTTCTCTAGTGAGTGTTTATTGAACGAACTTGAGATCCACATTGACCAGAAATAGGCAAGGAAAAGGTTCTTGAATAAAGAAAAAGGGAGAAGATATTCAGGTGAGGAGGAAATTGCATTGAATGGCCTCTATTTACCTACATTTGGTACAATCAGAGCTTTCCTACTCCCTCCATGTATTTTTCATATTGTACTTTATAATTCTTTTTAAAGAACGCTCAAAATTGGCGCGCCATGAGAAGGGGCTCCTGCATGGATTCGTTCCTAATTATGGAGCCATTTTTTTGTAATCACCTAGGCATCTGTTCCTCAGCCCAGCTCTTTTTCGAGGTAGCCATTTCAGATTGAAAATTTGCTCTGTGAGTAATGCTCCTGTACGTTAATAGTATAATGAAATAAGCATCACTTCAAGGTTGATTTGCAAGTATTCCCATAGAATTACACCATTTCCCCATAGCAGAGAGAGATGTGCTGTCTGAGTCTGCTCTTGGGACACCGGAACCATCCACTTCTGTATCTTTTTCTTTTCTCTTCCTATTAAATATTTAGCATGTGAGAATTCACAGGCTTTGGCTATGTCTGTTTTTGCCCAGATCCAAACACAATTTCCTCATTGTACCTTTGACATCCATCATAGCAATGTTGCAGGGAGGGATGGAACTGCCTATGTTAGGGCCTTGGACAGTAGCAATTGAGATGGTTTGGCACATGTGGATGGCAAAATGAAAAAAAAACATACAGGACATCTTGTCCTTTATTACAAGAGTGTGGAAGGCCACCAGACAGGAATTCAAATCCTGTTCTCCATCACTTGCTGAGCCACCTTGGGCAAGTGACCCTGTCACTCTGAGCCTTGTTTTCCTTCTCTCTAAAGTGGGGATGTGTAACTTACAGGTCTGTGAAAAAGGGCTTATAAATAAAATACTTTGTGTCTTTTACATGGTGGATGCTTAATAAATGGTAGCTATTGTTATCATCTCTAAGGCCCTGTTCCTACTTCTTCCTGGATGGAATTTTTGCCTGAAAGAGGAAAAGGAAATGAGAAATGTGGTTAGTGGCTTTAACACCTCCACCCTTGCAGTTTTTGCATCCGTGCCTTCCTATTCCGTCTCACCTCAGACCTCAGGAGTCACTTGAGCAACTAAATATATTCATGTTTACAGAGTTTACCTGCAGTAATTATCGAATATGACTGCAGTGTTTTATGAAGTCCCAGAGACTACCAGTAACAGCCTATAAATATTCCTGTTTACATTGGTTTTACTAGAACCTCCTGGAGGGAGAGGTTACTCGGGTGCAGACCTGTTACTATGATGTTTAAGCCCTTTTTGGGCCTTGAAGAATCTATACCCTCACACCTGGGATCTCTTTCAAATAGCATAAGACTTGTAAAGGGACACAATACACACGTGACAATGCATCTGACAAGTTTAATGTGTACTTAAATTTTATGTCAGTTTAAGGGATTGCATGCTTTTTTTTTTTCATAGAACTGTCATTTCTGGCTGAAATTCAGTCCCTATCCATATTTAGAAACAGGACAACTAATAATATTTAGTAAGAAAAGAAAGGAGTTCGAAACTGTGATTAAGAAAAATAAGGCACTTTACGTGAACAAATTTTAGATGGATCCATTTAAAATTAAGTGACACTTAACTGATTTGCAAATTGGGACCTATTTATCTCAGTAAAATGATTAAAGTCTCGATTTATCCCTAAAATTGGCTTTATTACATTAAATTATACTGGAAGATTGTTAAAGACTTGTAGGTTCCCTCTATCCCTTTAAATTGTACTTTATACTGACAATAATTGAATATTGGATAGAATAACTTGATTTTGCAAAGAAATATGTTTCTAATATTTTCCTCCTTTTATTGCAGAAATTGAAACAAGTTGAAGAAACAAGAGAAGATCCTGAGAATAGATTACGTAAAATTTCCCTGGAGTCATTCAATAAATACAACGGCAATACTGTGATCTTATTAGAAAAAGAGACGAACTCTCTGAACAAGGTTGAAGGACAAAAGGAAGAAAAAGAAAAAAATGAAGAGGCCTCTTTGAGTAACTCTGATAGGCCTGGGGTAGACAATTTGGAATCTTTGAGTGATTCTTTATATGATAGCTTCTCTTCCTGTGCAAGTCAGGGTTCAAATGACGTGTAAAGGACTTTTTTTCCCCTTAGTGAGCTGGAAATGGAGCACTTAAGAAACAGGGCTGGGAAGCGGGGCAGGTAGAGATGGCAACGAATAAACTATTGCAGTACCAGGGCCGCCACTGTCAGATTCACAGCCAGCAGCCCACCGGAGCTTACTTCCCTGACAAGGCAATAAAGATAGACTGTACTTGCTGTGTTCCATGAGGATTAAAAGTAAACACACCCAGGATACACAAGTCTTAATTTTGCACTTTTCTTTTGAAAAAGAAGTTGTACAGAAGTTGTAAATTTTTTTTTGGAAAAGAAATTATATTTGTAGCAAAAAAAACCTTAAAAAGACAGCAATACATTGAATCAGTGCCACGCTCTTGAAATGATGCCCTAAGTCTTAGAAGTTGATAATATATTTTTGAAAAATTCCAACTCCAGTTTTTGTTCAGGTCACTGTCCTAGCCCTCAGATTGTTTGATGGTACACTCTGTAAACAGAAAACAGGGCCTGCTGAAAAACCAGAGGGCTGTCTCTCATCTCCATCTCATAATCTCAATTCGATAGAAACTTTAATCCCAGTGCAATTTCCAGATTGTTGCCAGAGAGATTCAGGTTCTAGTAATAAGTATAATTCTGCTTCTACTGAAAACTGTAGAGGAAGGTACTCAAGTGTGACACTGATCAGAAGCTGTTTGTGTCAGAGACGATGTAATTCTACTTTCCCTCCAATCATTTCCTTACATCCTCTTCTACTTAGTGGTTCTCTGCAATTCTCAACATTATCTGTTGATTTTTATCTTCTGGCTCTTTTGATTAAAACCTGGTCAATCTATAAATCAAAGTAAATTCCTGTTTGCAATGTTCACTTTGTAAAAAATAAAATGGTTGGTGCTATGAAAAATTCTTACTTTTTAATATCCTTTTTTCCTACAAAGTCTGTTTATATGTAAGGATAAATTCTATTTTAAAGGTTACCGTGTATTTTTTCTAGATGCGAACTATTTATAATTGCTTTTGTACAGGAGCTTGTAAACTAGGCATAACATATTTTTAGGATCTATATGGATACTTTAGTACACACTTGTTTCTTTAAAGAGTATTGTATGATCAGTGTTATTTGGTTAATTTGTGCAATTTGTTATATTTGAATTTTGTTGTCTTAAATGAAAATTATGTCATTGTCTTTCAGACTCTTTAAGATTCTTTTGTTTCCATTTCTGAATAAACGTCATATCACAATCGCACCCTCTGAAAGCTTAGAAGAGCTTCTTCAAGGACCCTTCGGCGCAATTAGTTATTTGAATCTCACACGCGCTCCAACGACGCATTCCCCCGAAGGAATAAACAGACTAATAAGGAAACTGGCCCTATTCCTCCAGAAACAGTAATTCAGCCAATTGTAAGATCCGAGTCTGCAGACTAGCGAGTAATGGTCAAAGCATTTTCGTCTCCCTGAGGGGTTAACCAACTAGAAATGAGAGGAAGAGGGGTGCAAAGGGAGAGAAGGAGCCGGAGGCAGATAGGGAACGATCTCTGCAGAGGAATGACAAGAAAGTCATTGAAGCCCCTTTCCGGACCCGCTCTGCTGGCAGGATGGGGAAATAAATTATCAGCATCCCGGCCTAAGAGAGCTTCCTTCTCCTCAGAGAGGAGGCCCGAGTAGAAGGAGGTGAAGAGGGGCGACGCTTATGAAGCCCTTTCCACCGAAATGGATGCTGCCTAGGGATTTGGGGGACAGGCGTGGGAACGTGCGGGATTGGGGGCGGAGGCTCCCAGGCGTTCCGGGCGGGCCAGCGGGCTCCCGTACCACCTGCGGCAGGGCTCGGCGGCCAGGAAGGCAAACGTAGCAAGGTGGCGTTCCGGGAGTACACCAGGTGGGTCGCTTGTACAAGAGAGGGGGGATGGGGTGGGGGGAGGTGGCGAGGGGTGTGCCAGTGCCCGAGTCCTGGGCTGGGAAGGCGCGGTACACGAGAGGACGCCGTGAATAGAGCCGGAGGAAGCTGCCCTTCCTTTTGGACGAAGGGGATGGAGGAGAGCAACTCTCGTCTTCACCCCAATTTGCTTTCTAGTGGGAGCTCATTCACGGTTGTCCCCGGAGCGGCCCTCTCCTAGGCTAGGCTACCGCACCCTCCAGCGGTGCGCGCGGTAGACGAACCGAGGCCCGAGCGCGCGGAGCTGGGCAGGGTCCCCGGCTACCCCGCCCACTGCGCCGCAGCTGAAGCCGAGCCCGGTAACTACCCAGGGGCTTCTCCGAGGAAGAGAAGGCGCAGCTGCACCGGATACCCTAGGGAGCCTGCGAGTGTGCAACTTTGCCAGACGCACGGGAGCGCGGCCCCGCACTCCCTGCCGGGTGGACCGGACCCTGCCGCGGGCAACCCACCAGCCCCCGGGGGGCGCAGAGGAGGGGGGCAAGCGCCCCTGCACGTAGAGGCAAGCAGTCTTCCCACCCCACCTCCTACGTCCTGCTGACGGCGCCCGGCCGACCGCCGTGGCACCTGCTGCGCCCTCCTCCCTCTTTCCCCAGTCTCCAGCCTCCCAGCCTCCGAAAACTACACTCTCCCTCTCCCCCTCGAGGCGTCCCAGGGGGCGTGCGGAGGCGGGAGAGGAGGGCTATCGGAAGGGGGTGGACACGTGAAAAGACTGTCCCAGCCTTCCCCGCTCGCCACCTCCACCCCAACTCGGCAGCCGTCACGTGGTGCCTGGAGTGGGAGGTGGGGAGAAGAGGCGAGACTTTTTTGGGTGCTCCGGATCGCCAGCAGTTCCTTCAGCCTCCGTCGCCAACTCCGGAGACGCCGGGCACTCACTGCCTGGGAGCGCGAGCCAGAGAAGCGGCGACCCGCAGCCGGGGGCCCCGGCGCGGGCGATGCGGGCGCCGCCGGCGGCACCTGCGGCTCGTCTTGGCGGCGGCGGGCGCTTCGGCGGCGGCAGCGCGGGCCCCAGCAGTCTCGGCAGCCACAGCCGCTGCGGCCCGGACAGCCTCCGCCGCGGTCGCCGCTTCTGATGCGCCTGCCCGCTCCCGGCCCCGCGGCTCCGGGAGAATGTGGGTCCTCGGCATCGCGGCAACTTTTTGCGGACTGTTCTTGCTTCAAGGTAAGAAGACGAAGCGGCCAGCCGTCCGGCCGGGATCGCACACCCCGTGTACCCGCCGGCCGCTCTGCCTCCGCTGGGCGCTCACCTCCGCGCCCGTGCTGTGCAGGGGTCGCCCGGCGGGAGTTCGGCGGCGGCGAGTGGTGCCCAGGGGCGCTAGATGGGAAAGTGCCCAAATCCTGCGCTGCTGGAGGCGGCGGCAGCGGCGGATTGGTGGGACTCGGGCTGCAGGTGCCCGGGCTGCGCGGTCGAAAGAAGAAGCTGGGCTGGAGAGGAGGGAAGGTCCGAGCCGTGCAGGGTCTCGGCGAGGGAGCGGGGGCGACAGTCCGCGAACCCGCCAAGTTGTCAGGTGTCGCTAGCAACCCGTGGTAGTGGCGCCGCCGACAGGTGAGCGGCATGCTGGTCAGCCTGTGGCCTGGGCTGGCCGGGGCTGCCTTGCTGCGCTCCGAGCGCGACCGCTGTGGGTCTGGGAGGGGAGGTGCGCCGGGTCCGGGGCTCATCTGCCCGGGAGCCGGGGGTAGATAGGTCTAGACGCGAGCTCGTAGATCCGAGCGGAACGGTCGGGCTGGGGCGGGGAGAGGTACAGAAACGTCTGGCTCCTTCGCTCCAGTACAGGAGCGGCTCCCAGTCCAGCTCTGCAGAGCTGGGACCCGCACCGGGAGCCCTAGCCAAACGGAGCCCTGAAAGCCGGGAAGGAAGGACTGTGGTGTCGCGGCCGGGGATGCGCACGCACGCACACCCCTTGCCACACGCCGCGGCCACCCCTGCTGCTTCGGGAACCGTCCCGAAGAAAAGCGGGGGACTCGGGGCGCAGCAGCATTGAGCGCCCGACCCTTCGTCCGCCTGGGGGGCCTCGGAGCCACAGCACAGGGATGCCGGCTTCGACTATCAAAACTGAAAAGGCGTCTGCGAAGGCAATCGCGAACGGTGCCGACATAGTAATTAACTCATTTGTAACCAATTAACAATTAGGCAAAGCCTTACGGCGTAGGCTGGAGCCGACGCACGTCAGGTCCTCGGCTCTCGGGCGGCATAGCCCTCCTTTCAACTTCCGTGGGGGAAGAGCCGGGTGTGGTGTCGGATGGGCTCTTTGTTTCTGGAGAGTGGGTCCAGGGCTCGCGGGCCAAATCCCACTTTATATCCTGCGGGACCTTCGGTGGCCGCGCCGCCCTCTACCGGCTTCAACCGCGGCCGCCTTCCGGGGAGACCCAGGAGGGAGGGCGCCGCAGCTGGCTGGAGCGAGGGGCATGATGCTGGCTTCTGGGGTAGTCTCGGGGCGGCCCGGTCTGAATCCGACTGCGTCTGTCCCGCAGGCTTTGCGTTGCAAATCCAGTGCTACCAGTGTGAAGAATTCCAACTGAATAACGACTGCTCCTCCCCCGAGTTCATCGTGAATTGCACGGTGAACGTTCAAGACATGTGTCAGAAAGAAGTGATGGAGCAAAGCGCAGGTAAGAGCCCGGCAGCCCCCCTTTTCCTCCCCTCTCCAGCCTGGGCTGAGGTGGGAGTGAGGGGCCATTGCATTACAGGAAAAGGGATTGACTTTGATATAATGCACCCACTGGTTATCCCAGATTTACTTTTCCAGAGCTGGGAAAATGAAAAGTTCCAAGTTACTTTAATCTCATTAGAGTTAATTACCAGGGCTTCTCCCGGAGAAAAAGCTCATATGGCGGGGCGGGGTGGGGGGGGAGTGCATTTCAATGAGTGGCTCTCCTCTTTTAATCGACTGCCCTCACCTCCCTCTGCTAAAAGCTGATCGGGAGACTGGAAAATGTATGGATAACCGGCTCTGCTTGGGCAACTAGACAGTAGCCTGTGAGCAGTGTCAGCCTGACATATGAAGCTAGTTGAAGTTCCCAGAGGTCAGCACTTGAAAAATGTGTTTTGTCGAAGAGCCACGCCATATTTCCTTGAAGAACACTACAGCGTCTTTATTTAATTTTAGAACTAATGCATCCAGTTCCAGGCAAAAATTGCCAAAGATCTTTCAAGGGAATGTAGTTCCCCACCCCACAAGCTTAGCTGCTTAGTGGGCTGATAGAGGGCCTGCGCATGAGGCGAAAAAAGAAAGGGGTCTTGTGAGAGAAAACCTCACTCATTTCCTGCAGTCTTCTCGTGGAGCTGGGGCTCCCCAGCCCCGCCCAGTAGTCTCATCAGAAATCAAAGCCCCCCAAAAAGTGCAACTGGAACTTTGGGGAAACGGGTGAACTGGAGTTTCAATGCCAAAGTCAGGTCCATGAACATAGACTTTGCCATTGTAAGGATGTTGAAAAGATGGGTGAATGATATTCAGTGCACCCAAGCGCTGCTTCTCTTGAGTTTGCTGAACTGCCCTGCCCACAGAGCCTGGTGAAGGGTCCAGCTTGGTAAGTGATTTCCCTTACCCCGCTGGCAGATTCATGCAAGGGCTCTAGTTTTAAAGTGAGCACCTTGGGAAAGTAGTTTCTTCCCAGAGAAGGGCCTGGAAGTGCCTTGTGGCTTACCACATAGTAACCTGGGGAGCAGACAGCTGGTCGCTGTGCTGTGACGTGGCGTGCGTGCAGGCAACTTTAAAGGCTCTTTTTTATAGGTCATTAGCAGTCTAGGTGTGGAGTCTTTCCACCAGAATCACTCTTCTGGGAAGTCTGAAACGTAATCGCTCGCAAGAATAACGTCTCAAACAAAGCAGCATGCATTGTTTTGTCATATGGGATTCGGACTGTTAAAAAGGCAAAACAAAACGTAGTGATGATTCTATAGCTAAGATTGACACGCGTGATTCTGACAGGTTGTTTCTTTTCTGCTTGTTTCATTCCTGAGAGTTTTATGTGAGCAAAAATGGATGATGGCCTTTCTACCTGAGGAACTCCCGTAATTTTCCTCAGAATCACTTTGAACACTAAGTGATTCAGTAGTTTAGAGCCAGACAAAAATGGAGATGTGAAACTTTCTCATCGTCCTGTAGGCCACTGCTTACCTGGGTATCATATATCATAACCTGGGATATGGTTGCCACAAGAAGAGGACAAGCTGTGAACCAAATTTCTTGCTCTCTAAAAGTGTATCTGAGGTGAACATTACAAACTCCATTTTCAAAGTGTGGTTTTTCATCTAGCTTCCCCCTCTCCTCCACCACACACTGTAAAAAAAAAAAAAAAAAAAGGCAGTGCTGGCCTGATAACGCCTAGCTTCTTCCCGCAAAGCTGTAGCGCTAAGTCCATCAGTGCCTGACCTGAAGTTGCTATTAGCTCAGTCAAGGCGGGCATGTTGTCACCAAAGCAGGTTTCTCCCACCACATGTCATAGGCTAGAGGGTGACAGACACTGGAGAAATAAGGCAAGCTCAATCATGAAGCTTGAGAAGCAGAAACAGTTGATGGGCTCAAAGGGAAAGCCGGTTATTAGGGAAAGGATGCAAGCTCTGCACACGTGGAAACCAGGCATTTTTAGCCTGAATTCAATAGAAATCAGCCAAATGCACGTTTCTGTCCTTAAAGCGCGATGGTCGTGGAGGGATGGGGGCAGGAGGGGGAGTGGGCTGAAATTTCCAAGGCGCTTCCATTGTCGTCATGTGATGGCTGGAGACCAATCAATTTAAGTGGCTATTAACCCTCCCCTTGTTGGCAGGGCTGGAGAGCCAACCTAAAACCTCTGATTGTTAAGTGACCACAGCGTAGTATACTCATCACGGTAGCAACAGCTAACTCCTGTTGTGTGCCCTGTGTAGGAGGCTCTTTCCCTGTGCTGAGGCCCTTATTTCCCCAGGCCACGACCCACCGTGTTTAATTACACTGCAGGGTCAACTTCTCCCCTCTGGAGCAAGAAGTCCCACCTGTTCAATGATGCTATGAGGAATCGAAGTCAGAATCGTTTGTGCTCGATCAGTAACATATACTGTTCCAAGAATTTTAGTGCTTTGGAATCGGAAGGGCTTTTGTTGCTGTTATTGTTGTTGTTTTAATTTTTTGAAAAATCATACACACTTTTCTACAAGAAAAATTGCGAAAGGGGGGTTAGCAATCTTCTTTCTACTCCATCTCGTATAACCACTTCCTGAATTTCTCCTTTAACAGAGAAAGTTCACCACCTTTTGCAGCTCATACACAAAAACTAACCTACCTTTGCATAAAGATTATAAGTAAATATAACAACAGAAGAATCATATTTACGGGGATAAACCATAGTGGGTAGTTGATTTATAGTCAAGGGTGCACATTGGAATCTGGGACTTTTGTTCAAGTCCACATGTCTGGGCCCCTCCTTGAAGAGGCCAGTTCTGGAAGTCTGTGGTGTAACTGGCCGTGGGTCAGCCCCCGCAGGTGACCATGGGGTGCCCTGAATTGAGAACTGCTGGTCTGGACCAACCTTTTTGTGTTATAGAGGAGGAAACGAGGGCCAGAGAAATTAGATGTCTGGTCCACGTCTGTCAGGCAATGGTTACTGCGAGGCACCTGCTTCCTGGGCCAGCACCTTCCACAGTAAAATATGCTGCCAGGGTTGCCTGCAAAGATAATTCAGGTAAAGTGCTAAAGACTTAGACAATCCTCACACCCACCAGTCTCACCTAATAGGCTTAGTGAACTGGGTTGAGCGCACGAGCCACAAAGTGGATTTTGTAAGAACAGGAGAACCAACTGGCAGGACCTTTACCTATTCCCCAGAGTGGCATTCCTAATAGATGCTGAGATGATTCTCTGCTCCTTTTCCTTTTGGTCATTTATGGGGAAATAAGGCATGGGTTGTGGGGAAGAGAAGGCGTCTTTCATTGTCCTTACTAACTGATATTTAAATGTTTGCATAATGAATGACTTGTTCTCTCCAGCTCTGCACTTAATGAGTTAGTGTCTATGAACCAGCACCCTTGATAATGACATTTCTCTTGCTTTCGCCTATCACCGCCCTCCGCAAAATATTTCAAATATCGATTTTCACTTCGGAATAGAAGCCCCCCGCCCATGAATTTTAAAACCAGGGTATAAGGAACGTGAATCTGCGTTTGTTTGACAGTGCAATCTTGTAATTAGAGTTTTTCCTCTTGACTAGATACAGTGAAAGGGGCATAATTTAATTTTTATAGACTAGCCAATTTCTGCCCCTAGCAAAATATAGCTCTGCCACTGAGCAAAATGTTACAGGTTCTCCTAAACGTTATTTAAAAGTTAAATGCAGTATATTGCGAGAAAGTTCATGGTCTGAATCAGTAAGCTAATCGATCTCTTCACCCATCCTTTGCAACAGGCATTAATCTGTCTGTTCTGCAGTACACGAGTTCACTGATTTATATGCCATGTTGCATCTACCTTATGGCTGTATAAGTAATGCCTACTTTCCTTTTGGATTAGTTAGTTGCTCATTAAGTTGGGCAGGGATGGCTCGATGCCTTGGACAGGGTCATTTTATGCCTTATTTTCCCATGAGCTATCGAAAGATAAGGGGATAGCAAGAGAGGACCTGGGGTCTCTAATCAGTCACCCACTCTTAGCAGAAAGCAGTGGAAAGCTGACCACGGCCTATGTTCTCTTAAGGCTGTGCTCTGCTTAGTTTCACCAAGATTTACAATAACAGGCTGTAGTTTGTCTTTGGGGTGGTCCTGGCAGGAAGAAGGGCCAATTTTGCTGATCAATATTATATCAGAGTCCCTTTATACCCGGATTCTTTAAAGCGCACACACATGGCATATATATGTATAAGCGTATATTTTTAAATTTTGCCTATATCAATTAACACACACAAACATAATTCTTGTGAGAAAAGAAGTGAAAATATTGCATCCTCCTTTTTTGTAGCTGTTCAGATCGTACAAAGACGTTTTCTAACTTCTTTTCCCCAGAACATCTTTGTTCAGAGTACCAGTGATGTTTGTTAATCTTCTAGTGCCCTTTATCTGCTCCATATCTTTTTCTTACCTCTTCTCTCCTGTCGTCTCCCTTTTGAACATCCTACCTGTAGCCCTTACTTTCTCATTCTCAAATCCATTTTGCATTACTGAGATGGGCTATGGACTCTACTCTAAGAATAAAGTAAAGAACAAAAATGAAAAAATAATCACCATACTTTAACTTTGCCAAGGAGACTGCAACAGATTAAAAAACTTTAAAATAAAAAAGATTCAGGTGTCAAGAAAGATATTCTCATATATTAACACCGGCCCTGCTTAAAAAGGTTTCCATGCCAACCTCAATAATGTTATGAATTACACGGGGAAAGATTCTGTGCGATGAATGTCAATATCACTACCTCCTTTCCAGTGGGACCCTGAAAGAACACCTTTCTCTCCAGAGCAAGACATTTTGCCAATCCGACTGTTCACTTAGTTCTCAAGATGCATCCATCTTTTTCATGTGGCAGGCGTAGCCGACTTCTGAGGAGGTCTTCAGAGGGTGAATATCAAATGTCATTAGTCCCTCGGACTCTCCAGTACGTAAAGTATTTGTTTATGTTAACTTTCCAGCTGAACAAGCAGCCAGGGC